AGTGGCACCACCCTCCTCCGCCGCCCCCTCCTCCTCCTCCTGCTCCTCCTCCTCCTCCTCTTCCTTCCCGCCCTCCTCCTCCCCCTCCTCCGCCTCGCCCTCCTCCTCCTCCTGCTCCTGCTCCTCCTCCTCCTCCTCCTCCTCCTCCTCCTCCTCCCCTTCCTCGTCGCACGCACGCACAGTAGAGGCATTCGAAGAGAGGAAACGGATCAGGTGGCGCGGAGCCTGTTCAAGAGTGCGCAGCCGTCGCCTTCCGTAGCCATTTTGGCTCAAGTCCGCTGGCACTCAAGCGTGACACACGTGTGCTGCAGGCTCATGCCTGCTGTGATCTAGAGGAGGATCGGCGCTGGAGCACACTCTTGCCGGGGCGGGCAACGGACCACGTCGTGCAGGCCATGACTGGGCAGAACATCGTGACCCATTCGCGGGACGGCGACGCGGAAGTGGCAGCCTCTCTTGATCAGCATCACTTGGTTTGTGCAGGCGGGCGTGTCGAGGATGATTTGGCGGCCGCACGCTGCAGAGCGGAGTATGCATCAGGCGGTCAGTGTTGTTTCCTCTTATCTGGCGGACGTGTTGGCAGTCTTCTCGCAGTGGCAGTTCTGGGTGTGGCCGCTGTTCTCAGCGTGTTAGCTAGTCGCTCGCTCATATCCAGACCCACTCATATTCGGAGTGCGTCCATCTCGTCCAACTCTAGCCTTGGAGCAGCACTGTGCATTGTGGGCCAGATGTCGCGGTTGGAGATTGAGAGCAAGATCCGCAATATAATCGAGCCATTGTCAAAGTTTACAAAGGTAGATGTGTTCTTGTCTCTGGAGCTCGGCGGTGACGGGCACTTCTTCAACGCTGCAACATCAAACGTCGAAGTTGCCCACTGCCGCGGTTCGAATTTGGATGCGGATGGGGTAAAAGCAGCGTTTGCACCGTATTTCAGAGGTGGAGCGTTCGAGAACCATTCGGGCGTGAATGTCACTCTGAAGAGATGGCCGAATTTGTACAAACATTTGCACGGCATGTCAGAACACAAACGGAGGTCAACAATTTCCAACAATTTCTGCCAAATGAGACACCTGAACGATTGCGCGGAGCTTATCAAAAAGAGCGAGGAGTCTTCAGGGGGCAAGCTATACGACATCATCGTAAAAGTCCGCGACAACACCATCGCATTGCGTCCTGTGGTGCCGCAGAAGCTCCTATCAATCAGAGAAGTCACCCTCAAGCATTGTTGTTGGTGGGGTGGCGTCAATGATAAAGTGATGGCGCTTCCGCGCGAGTATCTCGAGAAGAGCTTGGGTACCATATATCGTTCCATGCTGGCCGTCAATAACGTCGATCACGATCACCTCGACCTCTTCCTGAAGGACTTGTCGCTGTCTAAGAACACGGAACAGATTCTGTTGTTCACGCTCACCGGAAATAAGATCCCTTTTCGCGAGAGGACGTTCGAGGCAGGGGATAGAGATGGTGACGACTACCTGCCCTTCGTGGACGGCAGGTGCTCTGCCAGCGGGGCGTCAGCAGGCGAGGGGCGCTGGTGCATCGTGTCTCACTGCAAGGACTGCTGGCCGAGCACGCCCTGGACGTACAACGTCACGTGCGAGCTGGCCGCGACTGGCCTGGAGGCTCCGGCGGCTTCTGGCCCCAGCGCGTCTCTCGAGCAGGCGCCCGCAGATCTAGGGGGCCGCATGCGAACCCTACCCCTCCCCCCCGCGATTTCTGAGGGGGAGGGTGGGGTTCGCCTCGTTCGGGAGCTCCCGAGCGGAGTGAGCCCCACCCTCCCCCTCAGAACTCGTGGGGGGTGGGGGTAGGGTTCGCACGTGGCCCCCTAAGATCCCGACCCCGAGCGCGCGTGCAAGAGCCCGGTCTACAGGTGACCGGGCCCGGCGGCTCGATCGGGCTGCCGCGGCGGGCCCGCGTCGCCCCGCGGCTCCCTCGCCCGGGCCTGCGGCGGCGGCCCCGCCGTCTGGGTGCAGAGTGGGGGGCCGGACGACGCGGGCGAAGGAGGTGCACGCTTGTCAAGCAGTGGCGAAGCGTCTCGGCTCGCCTATGGCCCTACCAAGCCATGTTCTGGGAACCTGTCGTGGTTTCCACGACATGTTCTTAGTTAGAACATTTCTGGCTGGGACTGTCTTGTTGTAACGCAGCGGGCTTCTGTTCTAAGAACATGGTTTTGGTGCTCAGAACATATTTGGGTTCAGAGAACATTTCGTGGTAGGACTGTAGGAATGCCGGGACGGTCGGTCCCTGCTCAAGTTTGACGAGAGTCAAGATCGGAGCGGCGTGCGGGCAGATTGGGCCAGTTTGATTGCCGCCAGTTTCCGTCGAACGCGTGCGGAGCAAGGGCCCGACGGTGATGACGGATCATTGTGCAGGCAGTTGCACGTCTCGTGGAGGATGTTGCGGGTTTATTCCCGTCTTCTACGTCGTGAATTCTTTTATCCGTGTCGCGCCCCCGTCTACTCATTCCGTCCTCCTCCTCCTCCCTCCTTCTCCATCTCACGATCAGAATCATCGCGATGTGGCAGGCATGTCACTTGGGCAACGCAAGGGGGTGCCGCAAGGGGATAGGTCACTTACAGGTTCGTGCCCAGACTGGGGATGTCTCCAGCAGTTCGCTTTTTCTTTGGATGTAGGCGCGTCTTTTTCAGAGCCGCGTGGTGCTCGCGATGTCGCAACTAACGCTGTTGGGCGCCATAGTGGGGAGCGACCACGGGGTAGGACACTTGCCCGTTGGCGCCCAGCATTCGGGGATATCTCACGCGAGACGCTGGCTTTTTGAGGAGTGCGTGCTTTTTTCGGGCCGCCACGAAGAAAGCGAATACTTGGATCAGTCGCGGCAGTCGCCGCGGGACTGGGGTGATCGTCGGATCGAAGATTTCGTTGTCGATTTCTTTTGGTGCGTACCGTTCAACCCTTTAGGGCAGCCCAGCGGTGTCAAATTTTGCGCGGCGGTTGCACGACGACGGTGGGCGCACCGTAGAACCTTTCATGACAGCCCATCTTTGTCAAGATTTTCGTGGCGGTTGTAAGACGAGCGCGGGCACGGTGGTCGCGCGCATTTGGGTGCTCACATTCGTTATGATGCTCGCATGTGGTTGGCTAGACGTAGGACTTGTGTAGGTCTTGGGAAACTCTTTGATAAGCCTTGGCTAGGTCGTGGCCGGGCCTTCCCTCGTATGTTTGGAGGCCATGTATCAGCTCTTGAAAGGCCGCCAAGTAGGCCTGAGGCAGGCATTGGATAGGCCGTTGGGATGACCTTGGGCAGGCCTGGGGGTTCGTGGGCAGGGATTGGGCAGTTGGCATTGGGTTTGCTCCAGGTGGGCCTTGGACGCTCTGGGTTGTCTAGGCCCTGGGCAGGCATAGAGTGCGTCAGTGGTGTGCCCAAATCGGGCCCCATTGAGCCGTCTTGAGAGATAACTGTTTTTTTATGTCCACGGGCATCCGCCCCCCCCTCCCCAAATTCTAGATCTTGGCTGCTCTTAGCGGCTGCTTCAAGCGGGTGGACTAAGCACCGGGGCCCGCCCCCCCCCCCAACCTCCCCTCCCGGTGTCAGTCTCGTTGAACCGACTCCCATGCCGCCCCATGCCCATCTCCATCCCCTTCGAGACCCCCACCAAATTACCTTCCCAGTTGGGGATACACCCCTCGAAACCCGAAGGGAACTGCCTATATCCCCATCTAGGGGGGTAAATCAGCCAGTGGGGCCCAGGCCACGCCGCTGGGGATAGGGATCGGATAAGCGATGCTCACGGTGGACACACGAACTGCTGCTGTACTCTTGTGCGTTGTTTTCCCGAGGCGCCCCCTTGGAAATTCAAAAAGAGGCATCGGCAGCTGAAGTGGGATCACGCGGTGTCCTTTTTAGACCTGCGGCCAGCTGTATTTTGCATTGTTGCACGCCGAGTGGAACACGCCCACTGCGTCGACAACGAATATACTGTGTCGCGTTGCATGCCGAGTGGAACACGTCCACCGCGCCCGCAACAACTCTTCTGCCGCGTGGAATGTGCTTTCATTGTGTTCGGATATGTAACAATTCAGAGGGGTACCCCAGCAGGTATTCCCAGGGCCAGGCTGAGGACAGAGAATGAGATCTTGCATCGTCGCCATATTTTGGCTCAAGAAAAATATCCCCTCCCATCCAGCACCAGAGTTTGGGGGAGGGAGATTGCTTTGCATGGTAGCGCGGAGCAAGATCTGATCCACGGCATTTTGCTGAGTGACTCCAGGGAGTCACGGGTCAGCTTCCGCCATGGAGCAGCAGGTGCAGCTGCAAGCGCAGCAGATTGCAGAGCTGAGAGATTTACTGCAAAGGCAGTCGCAGGAGCTCCAGAGGATGGCCGCGGCCCAGCCAGCAGCACCAGCGCAAGCAGCAGCACCAGTGCCCCCAGCAGGGCCACGACGTATGGAAGGTATCTTGGACAGCAAGATAGTGGGCAAGGTCAAGCAGTTTGACGGCCAACGTTCTTCATGGAAGACCTTTGAGTTTCACTGGAAGGCCTACTTGGTGGCCAACGATTTTCGTTTCAGAAGGATGTTTCAGGCCATCGAGGACGAACCTGACGTGGCAATGCTGGTGAATGACGTGGGCAGTGTGAATAATCCAGATTTCGAGCCTCTCTCCAGCCAGCTGTACTTTATGTTGGTGCTGGCTATGCCAGAAGACAGCACGGGCGAGAGCATCCTCTCCAACACACCTGAAGGAGAGGGCGCCCTGGCATGGAAGAAGCTGTTGAATGAGTACTCTCCCAATGAGCCAGGGAACATAGTCGGACAGTTCAGGAAGATTCTAGGTACGGTGTTCCCCAAAGATGCGGACATCGTCACGGAGATTATGAAGTTAGACAAGGAGATCGCCCGCTACGAGAAAGCGAGTGGCGAGACGGTCTCAGCGAACGTATCACGAGGCATCCTCCTGGGGGCTCTCTCAGAGGAACCCGATCTCCAGAAGCACTTGTTCCGCAACCTTCGGAGTTTGCCAACCTACGCCGACATGAGAGCAGAGGTGGTGAACGCCCTTGCAGCCCAGAGGAGCGTGAACGACGACGCCATGGACATTGGAGCGCTCAAGGGCGGCAAGTCCAAGGGCGGCAAGGCGAAGGGCGGCAAGGACGGCAAGGGCAAGAAAGGCAAGGGCTACGACTCCCAGAACGCCGAGAAGTGGTGCAGCTACTGTGAGAAGCCGAACCACGTACGCTCGGAGTGCCGCAAGAAGGCTGCTGATGATAGGAGACGGGATGCAGAGGAGGCCGCGACGAAAGCCAAGCATGACAAGAAGGATCGGCAGAAGCAGCGAAGAGCTCAAGCTAAGGCTGGAGCCTTGTCTGCCGGCACAGCACCGTCACTACCGACTACGGGGACGCTGCCGACGGCGCTGCCGACGAACCCAGGTGCGACAGGTACAGGGCCGTCGTGTGCAGCGAGCAGCGCTAGCACGATCCCAGTTGGGCTGAGAGCTTTGACTTCGAGCTCGGACGCCACATCCAGCACCCTCAACACTAAGTTTGTTTTCGGGCTTGAGGCGATCGAGGCCGAGGAGAGGCATGCGAGCATCGCAGCGGTCAGCCACAAGCCGAAGGACGCGATCATGATCGACAGCGGTGCGCAGATCTCGGCGATGCCCAGCCAGATGGTGTACGATGCAGGCTACACGATCCAGAGATCAAAGATCCACGAGCTGCATGCGATCGACGGGAGCAAGGTTCCCCACCATGGTCGTACCGATGTTAAGATTCGACGAGGAGATGCAGTCCTGCAGCTAGGCATGGAGGTAGCCGACATCGAGTACCCCGTCCTCTCCACAGACGCCATCACGAGGCGAGGCCAGTCTGTGTTGCACTCGCCGATGGGAGACTGGATTGTGGACGCTCCGATGCTGCCGCCCGAGGGCGCCGAGGTGATCAAGCTGAAGAAGGACCGCTCGGCCTGCTACTTGGAGTTCGACGAGCTGCTGAAGGACGGCCAGAACGCCGAGCAGAGCAAGGTCATGGCTGCGCTGCGACCGCAGGAGTTAGAGGACTCCGTGGGGATCTTGGCTGCAGCCCGCAAGACGCTGGCACCCACGACTGCGCCGACGAGTTCGTCTGGGGCTCTGCCTCGAGCGCTTGGACCAGACCCCTCGGAGAACGTCACCCTGAAAGCGAAGGAGCTCACGAGACCAGGACAGCCGACGGCGCAGGAGAGGCGTGCCCATGCAGCACACCACCTGCCCTTCAGGCCCTGGTGCCCCGAGTGCGTGATGGGGCGAGGCCGTGGGCGACCTCATCCGAAGCAGCAGGACAGCCCTGAGCTCGACGCGGACCAGGTGCCGATCGTGGAGATGGACTTCTTCTTCGCAGCTACTGACGACATCGCCAAGAAGTACCCGATGCTCCACGGCTTCGTTGTGAAGCTCGTCGAGGCCAAGCGCATCCCCAGGGACGAGAGACGTACGATGATCCCTGTGCTGAATATCGTAGACGGGAGGTCGAATGCTATGGGCACACTGATGACGAACAAGACGGTTGGGCAATATAAGACTCTGTACGTGGCAAAGCTGATCGACTCGTGGGGTCACACCACAGTTGTTCTACTGACTGATGGCGAACCCGCTATCGTGGCCATAGCCGAAGATGTCAAGAAGCATCGGAGCCATGGCACCATCGTTCGTAAAGCCGCAGCGCATTCTCATCAAAGTATGGGGCGCGTGGAAGGCGCCAACTCTCTGGCAGCGGGCCTCTTGAGGACCTTCAGGTTCGCGCTGGAGAAGCGGTTGGAAGTCACGATCGACGCCGACCACCCGATCCTACCCTTCGTGACGAACGCGATCGGCTGGTATATCACACGATTCCAGCCGCGGGAGCACGGAGGGCCCTCCTACAAGTTTCTCTTTGGCAAGGAGTACGATGGAGAAGTCGCCGAGATCGGCGAGCAGGTTTGGTATCGGATCGCTGGGCGGGTAGCCAGCGGTCAGGGCAAGTTCGAGGCCCGCTTTGCCAAAGGTGTGTGGGCAGGCAAGTCGGAGTTTGACGACCAGCACCTAGTGGTGGACTTGCAGCGCGGGCTCCTCAAGGTGCGCGCGGTGCGTCGCATGCCCGAGGAGTTCCGCTGGTCCGAGGACCTGCTGAGGCAGATCAGCGCGACGCCCTGGGACCCCACGCCAGCTAGGGCCAAGGAGATTGCGAGGCCCAAGGGCCTCTACATCACAGAGAGGATGATTGACAGACATGGACCGACTTCAGAATGCCTCAAATGCTCCACAGGGCGAGGACAGCACTCCGACGCTTGCAGGCAGAGGTTCGAGCACATCGTCCAGGAGGAGCTCGAGCGGAGGCTCAAGACTGAGGGAGCCTCGCCAGAGACACCAGCGCCGCCTGGAGTGGCGCCTGGCACGCCCGTGCCCGAGGGTGCGCCTGGTCCTAGTCAGCGCTCGCAGCCTGAGGACCGAGCGCCGGGCACACCGAGGCCAGGAGCGCAGGTGCAGGAGGCCAAGGCGGACCAACCTCCCAGGAGCTCTGTCGG